AAGAGCGTTATTTCTGTGTGGGGACTGAGCACTTAACACAGGCCCACTGTTTGCAGTATTAATGCTCCTTCCCCACAGGAGAGAAAAAGGACAACCTTAGAATTCTTAGATTCACTTCACGCAGCTGGCACCAAAGACATGCTAGATCTGCAGCCTCAAACATAACCAGAATTGCAGCAAGAACCTCAAAACCAGGGACAGTTGTACACAGAGCCTGGAAACACTGTTTATCGGTTTCAGGTTCTAATTGCTATCACACAACACTATTATTTCATAGCTTATCCCTGCTCTCTTAATCAACTTTTTCAGGACAGTTGCTTTATATACTCAAACTTTGCAAGTACTAAGTTCACCACATTCTCTATACAACTCACTGCAATAGTGACTCTTTCCAAAGGCCCCAGCAACTTGCAGAAAAGACCAATGAGGAAACCACTCATATCAGAGGGCAGAGCAAGGGACTACGGGAACATCTTACTCACTTGTTTCACAGACTCTTCTCTTCTAGGAATGGAGAACACGAGGAATTGAGATTATTTGTTAACATTGGAAAATAATAATAATAATAAATACATAAATAAGTAAATCCAGTAAGAAGGAAAAAACAGTGAAGCGAGACAAAAGCATGGCTGGAAATAGTGCATTAAGAAAAGGGAACAAACAAAAATTATGTCTTATAAAAGGAGGCGAGACCTGAACCTAACATCCTGGCAGCAAGTATTAGATTTTAATAAGAAGTATTACATTTTGTAGGATTCTGAATCCAGTGATGTATAAATTGTTGGCCTGTGCAACTGTAGCACCTTACAGTTACACTCTTCTCCCCCCTCGGCCCCTTGTTACAGCTAGACTAGCTGCTGCAGCTTGCCTTTAGAGTGCTCATCAAAACGTTTATGGAGAAGCCGAATCTCAACTGGTGCTGCTGTGCAGCAATGGAAATAAGAAAAGACATGGCACAGATCCTACAGAACACCAGCTGGACAACAAATCGAGGGCACCTGCAGGCTGCTCCCCAGGCTCACTTGCCAGCAATATGACTCTTGACAGCTACATTGATATAATCTCTTGCTTGGCCCTGCATACTGCAACATAAGAGACAGAGAAAGATGTTATAAACATGGTAAAAATTCCAACAAGAATCAAGCTACTGACAGAGCAATTCCAGCCCAAACTCTGCCCTGCTGAAGTTCCTACCTGTAGAATTACTGTCACTTTAAAAATCAACTTCAGGAACTTTGAGAACGAAGCAACACAAGCAACAGTTTACCTATATTCCCAATATGAAGAGCTGGATGTTTTCCAAATCTCCAACCTTTTTAAATATAAAGAATCTCTCAAACTCCCAGGTCAGACAACCAATGAACTTGAACAAAACGGGTGACTAATATCCAACCACAGTAAAACATTCTACAGACAATATATTTCAAAACTTAAAATAAATGAAGATATTACTATAGATAGCAGTAAACAGATTCAATAGGAAAATGCTATTCTGTAAGTTTTTATGTACTGGTGATTTACAGGATCAACTCAAACGAGCCTGGTACTGGGTGGGGAAAGGCATCTCTGCAACTAATCATGTCAAGCACATAACCCTTACCAATAAACGCTCCATGACCATGCACATGTTTGCATTCGTCTTCTTCAGAAGTGGTGGAGAGAAAAAAGTAAGGTAACAGAACTGTCATCCTTTTCTCTATCATACATAATTAATTACAAGAGAAATTCAGGATGATGGACATATATACACACAACGACTGTAAGTAACAGATACTTACACTACGCAAAAATTCTCATCTGTTGCCATCCTAGCTCATTCAAGCGCTTTAGAGCAGTTGTCCTTAGGACACTTGATTTGATAAGCGTGGAATGGCTCACACAGGAATAATTTATACCTTAAGTTAGATCAGGCAAGTGATAAAGAACTTTCTGGATGTTAATGAAAGCAGACTTTAAGTTAAGGACACTTATTACCAATGCAACACAGGTACTATATACATACAGATATATATGCACTGAGAAAAACGCAGGACAGAAAATATTCACTTGCACAGTTTTCTCCATAAGAGCTGAGGGGCAAAAAAAACCAAAATCAAAAACACACACACACATACAAAACATGACAGAAGGTTATGACACTACTTAATCCTGCACTGAAAGCCTTCTTCAAATAAAAACACTAATAAGTGCTATATAACAGCTTACACTGAATAGAAAAAATACTTCCAAGTTACAATAAATATTTTGCATGGAAAATAGTAAAACATGTTCACCAGGCATCTTCTGTAAATATATGGAATCACTTTTCTATAAGATAGTAACATTTTATACACATCTGAAATACGTATATTTCTGTCTTGAGATTAATGCTGAGTTTTATTTTCCCATTAACTAAGATAGTCCTTGATTTTAATTTTCAGTACTCAAAGATAGCTCTATGACACTTTTTACAGAGATGATAAAATAATTTCCCAGGCTAAGACAGACTTATTTTATTTGTTCAAGCATTTACAGTAGGGGTGCTTTTTTGCGCTAAGTAATGCATATGTAAAAAATATAAATTTTAAAGAAATACACACAAAGGGAAGATAATACTCAGATTTTACATATTTTATTGAATCAGACCTTGCGTTAACATGTGACAGTGAGGAACAGTCTAGCAACTCAAACAAGGACTTAAGAGAGAGCATACAGACAGATGTAGGCTAACTATGGGATAGATGTTCACTTTCTAAACAGCAGTGGCAACTTAAGCTATTGCTCCCCCAGTTGCTTTTATGTCTCTCCAACCAAAAATTTCCATCCCCCAGCTCCATCAGCAGAACAGCACATGCTGAATGCTCACTGACCTGCTTTAGACAGTCAACTGAGCTAGCTTACACAGCAGTCAGAACTAGCCCAGCTGATTTGGTCCAAAGGAGATTAGGGAGCCCTGACACAAATTCAAATGACAGAGCTGTGGGCATAGTGGCTTCTGGCAAATGAGTAGAGATAAGTAGGTAGAGATGGTGCTTTTCTAAATCGTTCCAACAAATTTGGAAGTGAAGAAGCAGATTCTGGACTTAACCAGAGCATCCAGAAAAGATCAAGTACACGTTTGTTTGGAGGAAAAAAAAAAGACCTCTCCTTCTCCCCAGCCCTCCCCTTCCCCCCAAAAAACAGAAAAAACAAAAACCACCAGAGAGTAATCCCAATACATTTCAACAACAAAACAGATGCTTCTAACAACAACACTTCTTTAAAGATTACAAAATATAAAGTAGTTTATATTTCCACAAGGGCTCATCATTGTTTGTATAGCTTTAAGTATGCTACCATCATAAATTATTTGCTCGATAAATATTATTCAATTATAATAAAATATTTATTCAAAAATACAAAACATTTTTAAAGGAGAAAGATGAGTAATAATAAGAAAGTTACTTCATTTCAGCATCATGCATATTTAGATATCATTCATATTATTATTGCACTATGAGATTTTTAAGTTAGCCCGAATTTACTGCCACTGAAAGGTACCAACTTGACGGTTTCAAAGAAACCTCAAGTTCTCGGTTTCTTTCGAAAGGCCAAGGATCAAACAGCACACATCTGACTAACCTGGAGCCATCCCTTTTCTCATCAACAGGTTTATTCATTTTTTTAAATCAGTGGAATCATTTTGTATCTCATAAGATTGAGCCTGTCAGGGTTGGTGTATCACCTCTTATTGAAGTAATTTCCAGGGACTACAGCAGAAGCTTGCCTGGGCTCTGAATTCTTGCTCTTTTCCTTTGAAACTGCAACACCAACCAATTTTTGTCTCAACTGATGAAACAAATGTTCATGAGAAGTGAAATCAGGAAACTCGCCTCTTCTTCACTATAACACAGCTAATGCTGCAACTCGGTTTGCTGTTGAATTGTCTGATGAAGGGCAAGCCTGAGCTAGTTCGTCTGCCACATGCAACACAGCACTGGGCCTTGCAGAGGTGCTAGCTGGGATCTGTGAAGAGGCCCCTCATGTAAGCACAGCCTGGCACCCCAGCTAACAACGCCTGCTTTCTCAGGCGGTCGCTCTGTTGGCTTGCTCAGTGTGGCAGCTCTAACCTCCCTGCTCTGTCCGTTGAACAGTGGAGGCAACCCACGAGATTACTGGTGACTCCAACAAAGTAGTTTCACATTTTCAATAAAAACAAACAAAAATTAAGTGCTAGCAGATTTTTTTTCTCAGAAACAACTGAGAAAATTGTATTATTCTCAAAAAAATTAAATTACTTCAGTTGTATTCTACTTCAAACATCATGTTCTTTTTACATAGACATGCAATGACTCCAAAGAGATAGTTCTCTCACTCAAGCCTACCGCTGATGCTAAGTTAATTTACAGTCATAAAACATTATGAAATACTTCATACAGAATACATTGCTACATAGTCATTTAAAAAACATTTCAATTGTATGCTTGGAATTGCTTGACTTGGCCTTTTTTGATACTGACTGTGAAGTTGCAAGTCCAGAAGATTCATCAAGCTTTCTTGATGAAAAAAAAAAAAAAAAAGAAAACATACACAACACATTCACACAACTTTACAAAACTGAGTAACTTGACGGCGTTATTATTTTAAAGTAAGAGTTGTGCGATCAGCTTCCAAAACACTCTTACCTTTTTGTTCCTTGTGACTGATTTGTACACTGCTGTCCTCTGCTTAAACTTCCTGAAGAACAATTGGGAACAACCAAAATGAATTACTTATGCAGAAAGAATGCTGTGGAAAATACAGACCTAGCAGAACTTTTAAAAGAATAGCTCTGAGTAAAGCTTTTCCTTCCCATTCTTTTCTGACATACCTGAACTGAATCTCTCTCAAGAAGCAGGTAACATTTTATTATCTGCAGTTTCAGTACTGTCATATATTTTCTTTAAAAAATATGTTATTATAAAAAAACCTTTAGTTATTAAATTAAGGGATTAATTTGAACTCTGCTGCAGTTTTCATAAATATTTCAGCAGAACGTAGTTGATTTTCAAGGCGGTTATTGAAAACTATGTTTTCAAATTGTTTGTCCTTCAGAGGAAAAAAGAATCTTTACTAACAGGAAGATATTTCATTTAAAACAAAGCCTGTCTGCACAGCTAATAATCACACTGCTTATAACATTTCCTTTGTAAAAAATTCATATTGTAAGTCTTAACTATGTTCTAGTAATTCCAACACGTTAATGTTTTAATTTTCTCTCATTAAGCTCCCAAGCTAGATTACGAACAAGGCATTTTCAGCAGCTACAGAAATATCTGTGCATGGCCTCTAATCTTGTCAAAGATTCTTCATCATTATAACCCTCAAATTAATTCTTCATCAAAAAGAGAAGCTGCTTGAGTAAATAAGCAATTGGTTTGGCATGTCACAAGTGCTGTTATGCAATATATTTTATTGGGGGGGGGGAAGGTTTGCAAGTTCCTGCCTTTATGCTTTAGTTCACAACCTCTTTGTTTTTGCCAACATACTACTTAATGGAACTTTTCTGTCAACCGAATGAAATGATCCAGGCTAAAAACATTTTCACTGATAGAAATTTCAGAGGGACCTTACAAACACCTTTCTGAGCATGGTTGGGGGATAGCAAACATGGGACTAGACAGAAATGAGTAGTAATTCCTACATCACCTTCACCGCAAAAGAGAATGCACTGCGCAACTACTACAAATTCATAAATCTAATTTGTCATTGAAAGGGATTTGATATTTTTATTTAAAAAAAATGTTTACTCTTACACACACCTTACTCAAATTAATTTGTGGCAACAGTCTCAAGGCCCTGAAAAGTTCAAAGTATACCATAATCACATTATTTTTATTACACAAATTGGTAATTTGAACAATCAAACAAATCTTAATGCGCATACTCACCAACTCTGTTTGAATTTTCTGTATCATAAGTCTTAGTAGGACAATTGTTTTTTTCTGTCAGCTCCTGGATAATGCCTTTATTTAAGCAGATATCCACATGTCTATTAAACAACATAAGACTAGTGGTTTTCTGTTCTAAATTACAAACTGGACAAACAAGAACATTGTCTTCTTTGGCTTCAAAGAAACAGGATGAACTAGTTTCTTCCGTATTCTCAATCTTTTCAAGATGGTCTGCATTCTCCAGAGAAATTCTTTTGGGAAAAAGACACTGTTTTATACACACGTTTCTAGCAATATCACCAAGCTGGCTAGGCTGTCTTTCTTTGTGAGGTTTAGCAACTACCATCTGAGTGAATTTTTCTGCGCTACTGCTAGCAGAGTTGACATCTGTACTTGCTGACTGGCATGTACCTGCTAATTGATCCATATTACTTTTTTGACATACCTCAACATTTTCATTTTTACAGCATGGAATAGAGTTAAATGTATTTTCTTTTGAACTCTCATTCTTCAATATTTCTACAGTATCTTTAACAAGACTCCCAGCAAGGCACTCATCAATATGTCTGTTAAGCTCCTCCAAACTACTGCTGCTTTGCTCCTCAAAGCACACAGGGCAGGTGAAGATCTTATGCACAGCAGAATTCTGCATGGCTGTGACTTTGCTAGTTTCTTCCATAAAATTTGCTGATGATTTCCTATCATGAAAGACCCGCTTATCTACATCTTCATTTAGAAAAAGATCCTCCCTGTTTTGTTGCCTTGCAGCTCGCTTTTTATCAAAAAAACTCCCTCTGGGAGCTGCTTCTGAATTTTTTGTGCAGAGTTCTTGGTTGGATTTCCCTGGCTCAAGCCTAAGAAAATTGATTTCTTTTCCTGATTTGAGAAAACTTTTAATACTTCTTTGTTGGTACTTCTTCTCTTCTTCACTTAGAAATCCTGATACTCGTACACCTAATGATGAAAAACAAAAGTTACAGCTTATAACACCAATTTTCTGAAATGTTGACATTAGTACTTAATGAACACCTTTCTCAGGTATATAACAACTCAATAAAAGCACACCCTAACTCTAAACAGAAGCCATACTACCTGCAAATGCTAACAGTGGATCACAAGATCCATACAACTTTCTCATCATGCCTGAATACTTGCCCAACTCTATAACTAATTTCAGTTACCATGAAGTATTAACTGATTGCACTATAATGGGAGGCTATGAACTTAATAGTTACGTAAAATCAAGTCTGAAAGATAGTTCTGCGTAAAATTTTCCCATCAAAAATATTTTTTCCTTCAGTATGTTTTAATAGAACAAATCAGTTTTATTTATCACTGAATGGTTCAAATAGAAATACGTACAAGCACCTGAAGTACGTTGGGTCTTAAAATTCAAACGTACAATTAACTTCTGCAAGAAATCTGGTAACTTCTGTCAAAACACAGCATCTTCAAATTCTAAGCACTTTTATTTAAGGCTTTTGTTTCTATGCTGCTGTGGTACAAAGCAGATTTAAAAGCTCTTTTAAGGAAGTAGAACCAAAGACTGCTACGCATTAAGTTTCTGCTCTCATGCCAAGGTGTACATTGCTCCAGGGACAACAGGTGGTAGGAAAGATACAACCTAAGATAGTGAAACAATCCTGAGTCACTATTCAGCGCTCCAGAACTGCTCCACTATGCAAAAACTAGCAGGGTAACGGAAAAAGAATAAATCAGTTATTCCAATTTTACTTCAGAGTACAATCTATTATTTTGATACACAGTAACTCTAAAAAGGAACAAGTTTGAAATATTATACCCATTAGTCTTATCCGTAAAGGATGAGGAGAAACAGTATCAATTTCTGTCCCTAATAAGTCTTTAGCAACAGCAAATATTTCCTCCTCAGTAGAAACAGAAGATGGCACAGTTGAAGCTCTTGTTTTTACTTCAAAGTTCACATTCTTCAGCTTCAGGGTAACAGTTTTACCCTACGAAAGAAAGTTACACATCTACCACATGGCACAGAAACAATTCTTACGTAACTTCTATATAAAGGCGTTAAAGTCCTAGTCAAGACTCTACCTGTATTTGGGCACGGCAAGGGGCACTGCCAAGGACTTGTCTATAAGATTCTGTACTTGCTCCCAAACTGCTGCCAAAGATGAATTTTGTAAACTGGTTCATTTGGCTACAGTCCCCAGCAGACCATCTGCCAGCGGTGCAGAGTCAATACATTTCATGCTCTGGCTGCAGCCAGAACTTCTGCCACTGCCTATCACAAATGTTATTTCCTGACCCGGGAACTTTCAGCACCAGTTATCTCAACCTTGCTGAGAAAACGAGTGAGGATCCTTAGGTGATATCCAATGAAGGGTCTGCTGAAAACTTCCTCCCGCACGGCGCTATCAGAACAACACACAGCATCTATGTATGTAAATACAGAGTCAGAAGAGCAAAATTCTGACTGAATTCTGAATTGCATGTATGCAATTCGGTAACCACATAATAATTCTCAGCTGCTTAGTAGTCCGCTAATCTAAAAGTAATTGCCATATTTTTCTTCAAATACAAAGCCCTTGGCAACAATTTTGAAACCATTTGTGTCATTTAGCATGTCCATCCAAATGTAAATAAACTGTACTTTGGTACTCTTGAAAGTTTACCCTTTGTCCTTCACAGCCACTGATTTCCCTTTCTTCCTGTCATCTTTTGAGACCAATTTTTTTTTATGGCTGAAAAGGGCTAATCAGAATTCTTCTAGGTCTTGAATGTTATTCCTTGCTTTACCACAAAGAGCACTATAGAAAATATGAACTGTTTTTTCCAGAGAAAAAACAGAAATTAGGGGGGAGAAGAAATACAGAGGCTGTTTATATCATTCACACCATTAAAAAATATGAATACCTTTTCAGCAAGTACAGGACACACGAACCTTTTTAGAACTACGCTATGGGCTATCAGCTGGATCCTCTGTGAATACATGACACAGATCATGACAGAACGCCGTCCTTTAAACACATCAGAACTATATGATCGGCCAGAGCACAGATCCTAGACAGTCCACTCTTTTCAGTTGCTCCATTTGTTTATTAACATTGCTTTTTAGCATAAAATCTCTTGTATGTCAAATAATTTGGTGAATTAATTTAATTTTTCCAGAGATGATATTAAACAGCCATCTGAGCAAAATCAAATTTCTGTCTAAATCATGTGCAAATTAAAGAATGGAATCTTTTGAAGACAGAATGCAGGGTAGGATACTGCTGAAAGCCTTAGCACTAACACCGCATTTAATAAACCTGAATGCCAAGTGTTATCTTTCTGCAAGTAATAGAGAAGAGCAAATACCTTAAGTCCCTCTTTCTGTAACTCTTGAGCCAGGTCTCTGCAAAGTTCTCGACACAAGCTATACTGATCTTCTGCTGTGTTAATTTCACTGAACGTTCTAAGGAAAAGATAAGATTTTTTCAGTATGAATCCTAAAATTTGTTCAGTGACTATCTAAAAAATATGTTTTGAGCACTTTAACAAAACTACATCAGAAGAAGGTTGTAGGGGTTAAGTGTTGACTTCAGAGGGAGAATGAATATTAACATGAATACTATTCAGAAAGATCTATGCACGTATATGTGTTTCAAAAAAGATCACAAACCCCTCCAAATAATTTGGCAGTTTCAGCTTCTCATGAAGTATTTAAAAATGCAGATTTAAGCTCATTAATGCTTCAGTATTTACATGAGACAACACTAACACCAACTGAATTCACGGAGTGAGCCAACTCATTTGTATGTGGTCTCCTTTGTACAGTGCTGTGTAACATCAGAAGAATGAAAGGATTAGAAAGTCAACCTCAGAGCCAAGTACCAGAAATAAATAATGCAGATGCTAAGAAAAAGTTTGCCAGCTAGAATAATTATGGCTAGCCTCAGAGGAGGAAAAACAAGCTTTCTGCCAAAAATATTGCTATGTTGCTAACTGCCTTCCCAAGAGAGTTCCTTAGCAGGGGAATTACAGTTCTGGGTGGTGTTTTTTTTTTTTTTTTTTTGGTGTGTATCTGCCTTTCAGTACTAACTGGAGAGGAAAGGCAACGTTTGGCCTGTAGTGGTTTTAAGAGAAGCTGGTAGCAAAACTTATGGCTGCCAGATGCTTTTGGGAAGGTCTCACAGATCCATTGTTTCACGCTAGCCTTTGTATTTAGGAATGTGAGGTCCCTGAACTTGTGGATTTCCCATCTCTTAAGTGACATTCAGGTTTACCTGACTGTGTGGAAAAGTCATCCCCTATCACGATTCACATTCCCCTAAGAACATTTGCAGGTTGTCAAAATAACTAAGGACGAACATTTCACTGTGGGTCCTATAACATTATCCAAGTGCTGTACTGACAACGCAGCATGGCAATGCTGCAGTAATTGGGAAACTGTAAAAACAGTAGCTTTGGAAGGGGTAGGATAGAGAGTGCATTTTCAGGCCCATCTCTTCCCCCCATGCAACTAACTGTACAACTTCAGCAGCACATCTCTCTTGCTAGTCTAAACCCATCTCTCTCAGGAAGGGGAGATGAAGAGAAGAAAAATACAAGGGTACAAGAGGCTACCCAGATTATCCATCTGCCTCCAAAACCAGCACAAGACTACAGTTCTGTTTCTCAGCTCTGGTGGTACTAAATCTTCTGGAGCTTATTTAGGCTGCCCACAACTATTAAGTCTCAACATGAATAAGAATCTTTTCCTATCTTCTTTTCTAAGATGAGACAACACATGAGGGTAGAAATAATTACTACAGCTCTGCACAGATTCCTTCCCCACAATATTTCCTTTTTAAATACAAACCTTAGAAAGTGACATACAGCACCTGCTTAAGCCACTTTAAGTTACTAAACATAAGTAAGGAAATGTAACATTTTCAGCTGCCCATGCAAAGTTAGCACTTGCCTTGCAAGTCTGCATTATGCAATACTCATTTCACACGTGACTGCAGGCTATTTTTCCTAAAAGACTGACGCTGTATTCGTTCTGCACACTGAACAGATGCATGGAAATCAGAAAAAGAAGAGGGAAGATGAAACAGGTTTGGTGCATCAGAAGAAGCAGATAAGAAACAACAAGGAAGAGAAGGCATCAGATTTTCTTTCAATTTCTCTTTGAAAAACTGAAGAGATACTAAGCAAGAATAAAATGGGGAGATGACATGGACACTTTCAAGAAGATTGCCTAATTTTGTGAAGAGGTAGCTATGATCTCAAGCATGAGATTTTACTGGGACTATGTGAATTGGGAAAACATATGCTGGGAAAAGAGAGAGAAGAAACGAAAGAGAAAACGTAAGAAAGCGGTTGGAAACTCATAAAAATATCTTAGCAAAACTTCATCACAGGAAGCGATAAGCACATATAATGTGCTTATCCTGGCATAAAATAGAAACATGCCGAAAACTACATAAACTTCCAAGCTTCGGGTCATATGAAGGCCTTTGTGAGCCAATGAGAAAGCTCTCTCAACTGCATACTGAAAAGTATGTCATCCATAGAAACTAATACAATCATTTTCTATTGATGGCCTGGATTCACTAAATTAGGTGGTAAAAATGGAAAAGACCAGGACTGGGGGGTACATAACAGTCTTTAAGTACACAAAAAGGTTTTGCTAAGAGGAAGGAAATCTAATTGCTCTGAAGAACAATTAGGGCTTAACTTACTAGTTAAGTAGATCTGTCCTAATTGCAAGGACAGCAAAGCACTGGAATAGCTTATCTATGGGAGATTGTGGTGCTTTGTTCAGCAGAGACTTAAGAACAAGCTACACAAAAGTCTCTCAGGAGTGACCCGTGTATAGGTGATTTTGCCTTAGGAATGGGAGGATGGTAGACTTCATCAGTTTTCAGGTTTCTCCACCTTTCTATGATGTTAGGACTGCAGACATTCCCTTAGAATGTAATCAGAACAACAACAACAGTTAAAAATTGGAACATATTAGAGACATTAACCTAGAACATAAAAAAAAATTCAAATTTTTATATTCCCACTGCATATTATGGCTTAAAGACCATTTGATGCATTAAAGGCATTAGGAGAAGCAGATAATGAGAAAAGAGAAGAGAGAAATAGACAGGAGTAACTCTAAAATTCTGAAGCAAAAAAGGAATCTGAACTGAATTTGATAATCTGATGTAGTGAACTCACTGTACATGCAATTAGCTTTTTAACACAGGCAGCTATATGGTGAAATTATTTGACAAAAAAAATTTTTACACTAGTTGGTATTAAGTGGGTAATCTTTTCAATATTAAAAAGGCATACCTTTCAGTGCTCATACTTTTTCTTTCTCCATCCCTTTAAAAGAAAAAATATTTTATATACTCACTTTACTTATAATTGTTACCTTTTTAATAAACTCCGAGTCAACCATCCACGTCTCAATAAATAACAGCAACCTTTTCTATAGTCTGGATGTTAGCTTTTTCTACAAATCTTACATAACAAGTTTCAGAGCGTACAAAAAGGAAACGATATGTCCATAAAACTTATACTACTATAGATGAAGTAGAGTCATAGAACAGTCACAGATGTCAATAAAAAGTCTACAGTTTGTAAAATTAGTCAGCCTTCTCCATTATTACGAGTCTGTTGAGTTAAAAACAAAACTAACATAAACTAACTACAATTCCTACACTGTCTTGCCAAGCTATATACTACAAAGTACTTTGACAAAAATCCTGAGCATACTACCAATATTTGTTCATCTGAGGGATTAGTTTGCTTTCTGTCTTAGACTATCGTCCTTTTTAAAGGGGATGAATATTTTTTTCCTCATGGTTGTTTCGTTCTTTTGACTAAGCATCCTTTAACAATTGTTCTTCATAAAAGCAGTTCCTCAGAGGATTTTCTTTAAGTTCTTTTTCTGTTTATAAGTCTGAGAAATAACAAGTTTGGTATCCTCACCCTTCCTAAAAGAAGCTGGTCAAAGACAATGACTATAAGATGAAACATTTACTGATGAATCAGATGTTGATATGTTACAGGCTTGCTTTCTCCACCTTAAAAATCAACAAAATCAACTTGGTATCAGTAAAAATCAAACTAAAAAAATCAATTTCTTAGACAATACAATTAAAAACATTTTCTTCACTTTCATCTTTTGAAATACTTCTACTTTTTTTTTTCTTTTAAAAGTACTATGAGATTTCCCAGACTATACAACAGCTAAACAGGGTAAACAAAGGAAGATAGTGCATCAGTTCCTAAAGAATCATTTGAGGTTGCATTATCAGAACAGAAATAAAGTATTTGGACAACCTCATTTCATCTTTTGGCAAGTCACCTTTACAAAGTCAACCTTCCTGCATATTTTGTTTCAAGTTAAAACTTCTGCAAGGGAAAAGAAAAACCCCTAAGATCTGTGGTAGTACCCTAGTGGCCTACAAATTGCTAACTGTATATATGATTTTGTCATCAAGTGAAAAATTGGAAGATCAATCCTTGTCAGAGAAGTAATGTAAATAACACAGAATAGGTTTTTCTGAAGTACTTAAGACGCTTTGGAACCTAACTCCTAATTAAACCAAATCAAAGTCCCAAATCACTTTTAAATAGAATTTCAGCACTTTTGAAAGCTACCTAGAAGCAATATTTAATGAAGGAATACTTAAAAGAAAGGGCTCAGAATCCTTAATTAAGACTCTTGGTTACTTAAGACAGCAAATTTGTGTTTGTTTGTTTTGTTTTTAAGAACAAGACAGAGTTACATATTTATGTTCAGGGCAGCCTTAGCAGTGACGCATATTATTGAAAAGATGTACTTACTGGAAAGAATAATTTCCCCCCTTCCAAATAGGAAGGAGGCTAATCACCCATTCTGATACCCTAGTAGTATGACCTTCAAAGAACAGACATGAAGGGGGGTATAGAAATACTCCGTTCTAAGTCCAGCAAATTCACAAATAGTTATTACAAATATGTACACAAACATGAAGGGAGGCACAGAATTGAAGGCAGATACTTAACTTACTTTCAATAGTGAATGAAGAAGATCAGACACCGATGTGAATGTTACAATCATACAGTAATAATAAAGAGCAAGGGTTGCTCTTAGAATCTCTGTTTAGGGTCAATTACTCATTTCTCACTAGTTATTTTAGTAATTATGAAGTTATCCTAAACAATACTACCTTAATATCTTGATATACACTTAGGCACAACTTCTATGACCCTTTTTGGGTTTCACATATTAGACATGGCTGTTACACATAACGGCCAAATATTATAAAGCAAAAGTTTTGTATCTTTCTTGTAAGCATACTAACAACACAGGCACCACAAAACTACTTAAAAATATATATATTAAATGAGCCACATTTTCATATCTGTTGAGTTGCCAGTAAAATGTCTTAAAATATATACTATGTAACACATACTATAAAGCATTTAACAAACTGCAAATGCATAAAAAGCCCCAGAACATACTTTTCCAAATGTGTTGAGCCCAAACCAAGTGATATCTCCAAGAAATTATGCCAAGACGCTTCTGAAAAAAGAAGAGAAAGCAGTGCCCTCTGCTGGTAAAGTTCTGAGCAAGTCACAATTCCAAGGGCTTTTAACATCTTCTCTGTTACTTTTCCTATACCTGGCACCTGAAAAAGAGCAAGTATCAATGAGCTGGAAACTTCCCATTTGTAGATTCAATATCTACACAATTTACTTCAAACACTACTGGGCAAATTACCTAAAAAAAGGTGTATTTATTTAGTAAAAATCTTGCTTTTAGAGCATAAAAAAGCATATACGATTGTATAGTAAATGTCATGGTATCTCTTACCTTCCTAATGGGCAAATCTTTCACGAAGTCTAGCACAGCTTGTCTCTCCGGAGTAATTCTGTATTGTCCATTAGGTTTATTATGATCACTGCACATTTTTGCTAACATTGTATTTGGAGCTATTCCTTAAAAAAAAAAAAAAAAAAAAAACATACACACGCAACAATAAACATACTTTATTTAAAATACAAGACAATCTTTAATTTCAGTTGTTCAGGAGCTAAAGGTGCAAGAGTAACCTACACACTTGGCAAAGACTAAACATAAGCAAAAGAGGAGATAACTGATGATAACTAGATTTGTTATAATTCTGCAGAATTTTTTGTAATAGACATGCAAGAACTTAAGTATATAAATACATAGGGCAGCTTGAATATAACTGATGCACCAGATGAAGCATACCAACTATTTCGAGATAGTCAAGGTAACACAACAGTGTTACTGTAATCAGTCACAAGGGGTTAAATTCCACGTGTTTAAAAATAACATCAGTTACCTGACTGAACAATTTTATGATGCCAATAATTACAGTAAGAGAAAAGGAAATGTTTACATTAGTTATAACAAAGTCCAATCTAAAGGAGATATTTCCTAATCACAGTTCAGCAAAAAGACTAAATTAATTTTGACTAAATTTAACAAACTAAATTCTTCTGTGGACTACCACTACTATGTAGTTATTTAGTATTAATATATATATATATATTTCAATTATGCTGTTTGGTAGAGAAGGGACTTTTCTCTTTTCCAAAGTAAGTTTTTAGAAATAAACTCTGAAATAATAAACAGACAAATAGAATTATTCTCCTCCACAGTCCAAGTGATCTAACTTTTGATTTGTTTAATAAATTATTGCTGTAATTTATTAGTCAAGATGGTAGAAATAATTCTATCATTACCGCTTATCATATTTTTCAGCCTTCTCTTTTTCACTTTTGGGTATAAAAACCCCTGATGCACTTACGAGAGCTACGTCTGTTTTCTAGACGGCAGCTCATCCTCAGGAAGACAAAACTTCAGCAGAATAAAATTCTTATTTTGCCACCACTCGTGATATAATATTTGTGGGGTCTTATCCTGCCTCTTCCCCTTTGCTGTTCCTTTACCTCTGCTTACACTTGACATTTCCCTGATCACTACTCGGCTGCCCATTCTTCCACACCTGCTTCATAAAGCTCAGCACTCCCAGATGACTCACTGTACTGGACCACAAAGCCACAAGGACAGCATCCAAACTGAGTGGCTAGGAATTTGTTATTTTCTAAGGACCTAATCCAGATATCGTCAGAACAGTAGACACTTGCAGGTAGGTTGCATAAAGTTAAAAGATCTAAAACTTGAAAGATAAATATTAATAAACTATTTACCAGCTTTTGAACTTCAAAACTTACTTATAACATTTTAATGAATTTTAATATTGCATAATCAAGGAACAACAGTGTGGAGAACCATTAGAGTACTTAACTATATAGGTCTGCTATACCAACCAACAGCAGCCAGTGACAGATTTCTCTATGACACAGGCTTATAAAAACAATCTATGTGAGGCACTAACAAGTATCATCAGTGTTAAGACTAGCACCTGAGCCCCCAGTCATTCTTCCATGTTACTTCTATTTCAAAAAAGAAAGAAAGAAAAAGTCACGTTCTTTTTGCTAAGATCTTTGCAAATACTGAGAAAGCTTTTATAAAAAATAAATAAATAAAAAAAAACAGGACTGGGTTTGATTCCTATAACATTTCTTGAGAGACCTGAAAGTCAGTCTTTACAGACCTGCAAACAGGTCATACTACTTTGCAGCACAAGAATGCTGTGGCAATGCTGATTTCTTACAGCTGTAATGCCCTCTGAGATTTCTGTGTGGAAGACGTCATAGAAATACAAAGCATTATCACTCATACGTGTCTGAATACCTGCACTAGCAGTCAGTCTGGTTTTCTGTTCAATCCTAAAGCGAATTTCCTTCACAACTTCCTCTGCAGAAGTTCCAAAGACGATCGAATTCACTGCTGGCAGATTTCTCTGTTCCGGGTGGTCATCTGTCAGAGATGCATTGTCTTCGAACAGTAGCGGTGAAGAAGAGAACGTATCTTCATTTAAATTGAATTTGGTGGACATGTTCATATCCTGTTTATCTATGTTACAAAAGAATTCACAATGAATCCATCCATATACAATGTATATTTTATTGACTACCTTCTGCAGTGGCTGAAAAGAAGTAGAATAGCAACTTTACTTTTTTTATTCGAACAGAAAAAGTGTATAATTACTTACCTAAAACAACCAAGCAATACAACTATTTTAAGAAAGGGGAGTCATAACAGCTTTGTTAGTAATATGATTTGAGCTTGACTTTAGATTAGAAGATCTGGCTAGGAGACTGGACTTTTCCTCCAGAAAAACATCAAGGTTTAAAGCCCTGTGGCTGTAACAGCAGAAGAACGTCAAGGTTTTGGCATTATTTTTGTTTCATATCAGAGTGAAAGACAGAGGGTCCCTTTTTTTGTAGAAGTAAAAATCCTTTGCAGAAGCTTTTTTCAGAGTTCTCCAAGCAAATTAAGGTTCTAGAATATCTAGTTCTAGAATAGCAACCTGGTGAGCTTCTTATTTGTACCTGCAGTCATCACAGAATCTGTAAAATCAGCAGCCTTGCATTTGACTCTACAAACACTTTACTATTACAGGTTCACATTCTTACTGTTTGCTTGTGTTTCAAAAGAACACAGACTTGAAAAAAAGCACAAAGAAAGAGACATGTGACTACACGTTAGCGACAACTATTTTGTAAAGACAATGTCAGTTTGGTGCTTTTTGTTCTACTAATGCTTTTCAGTATAGTGTATCCTTGATTATCCTCTTGGCTATGTCAAAGGCTGTTTCAATCATTTTTGAGCACTGAGAATATAAATGTTTCGGTTTGTGCATCAAACATCAGCATGACTCTTTTTTACTATTCCCAGCTGTGCATATCGCTGTGGGTGTGGTTCCAGCTACATCTTCTGGAGCCAAATGCAATGCAGTCATATTTTAATCACTACTGTACTCTTGCAGAGTTCACCTCTTTATACGTTTTTAGTCTTGTAAAACAGTCACATTAATAGAGCTTATGCACACTTGTCTTTGCAAGATAATATCTCATGTTTCTGCTATACAGGACTTACTGTACTACTAGGAAACACCCTTTCAAAGTATCAATAACCTTTAGAACAACACATTTACTTATTCTACACCTTTTAAAGTAATAAGGTTAATCCTACTTACTTGCACAATTAAATTGTTGAATTGTAAAGGCAAAATACATACCTAAAACATTCAGCTGGGATTAACAAACCTAGTGCTATTTATCACATGAAATAATTAGCAAGTTAAAAAAAAACAAAAAACAGAAAACACTTCCCCAATTCTGATTCATCATCAGCACAGCTCTTATGCATGGGTGAGTAGTAGAGAAAGTTAACACACAACCTATACAAAAATCAGAGGCAGAGAGTACATGGCAGTACAAATCATCCATGGACTTACGCTTAAGTACTTGTACTTTTAAACTGGTGCAGTTTATTTGATGTGTACATTAAGTGCATAAAAACAGAGCAATTAACTTACCATTTTCTGTAGTGTTTTCTGTGTTGAAGAAGTACCTTCTCTTATCTTCAGGCCAGTTCAGTCTTTCCTCCAAGTACTCTGTTATATTCAGATAGGCTTCATCTAGGCCCATAGGCATAAAATTGGGATCATATTCAGCCAATATTTCTCTAACCTTGACAAACATATTGTGAAAGTTTAAAGCCTTTTTGCTGTAACAGCATATCTTAATACATAATTTTCAGGTGAACAAATGTATTCTGAGGCTTCATGATGACCAAGCAATACTTGAGATATTTATAGAACAAATAATTTATTGTCAATGAAAACGTATAGCACCGATTCTCACAAGTAGCAAGATAACAGAAATAAGTAAGAGCTAAACAGGGGTTTTGAGTAACCCCTTTTACTGTAGGGTCACTAAGATCAGTGTATAAAGACCCCACAGACAACTAGGTTCAGAGACATTACAGTAACCTCATGAGCAAAACACTGGGGATCTGGGAACTCGTTTGAACTTTGGAACAAGTGCATGACCTGATGCACTCTCTTGCACTGTGCATCAGACAGGTTATGTAGAGAAAAACTAGGTTTTTAATTACATTCAAACTAAAGTAATAATCAATGGTTTGGGGATAGTTTAGAGCACTGTTCAGGACTGCAGACAAAAGTTATCACAAACTCTTTAATGATAGCTGCATCCTCCCAAAAGGCAACATCTTGAATCAAACTGCCACAATAAAATCTTTATCTTTTCTCCTTTTCCCTTTCTTTCTTTTTTTTTTCTTTTTTTTTTTTTTAAAAAGAAGGAAAATTTGACTGCCTCATGTTTTCTTTCAGTTTTGGTCAAATTCTTAGGTATCATAACATTTGGTCACACGTACTTCATCTTTCTGAAACTGATAGGATTCGCTGCATAACTTTCAAGGACAAAATGAAACAACACGTTTAAATGTTTTCAATCCAAATCCCAAGAATAAATATAAAACCAATCAATCTGCACCTTTAACACTTTTCCTTTTATCTGAAATAACAAATGAAATACATATCATGTAATCTGAGATCATTAACAAGTTCAAAGCCATTCTCAAATACTTTTATTTACTTAAAACAGAAGTGAGCAAAATCAAATTCAAACAAAATTAGTAATTAGCTTATTTTTATCCATGGGAAGAAGTTCAGGCTTGAAAAAAATGGATCTTGGTGTAATCTTATTGAAGTCAACAGACTTGTACCACGCACGAGTTTGATTTAAGATCTACAAATCTACAAAGCACACAGTCTCTCCCTCCCTTTCTCTCTCTCTCTCTTTTTTTTTTTTTTAACATGACTGTGCATATTCTAAGTGTTTTTCCTGATGCTGAGTAAAATTTCTTCCTTTGGAGAAAGATGTGATTTCTTTCCTCCATAACTGTTTGCACTTTACTTCAAAACAAATTTATCTTCATTTTGAACTCACTAATGCTCCTTGCTTCTCTCTCCAGTAATTAGCACTGCAAATGATTATTATGCTTTGTATGAAATAGATATCTCCAAGCTTCCTACGTTCTTGCAGCTGCCTAATAATCAGTTTATGCTCCATATAATAAAAGTATAATAGGGCTTAATTGGTGTTACTAATTCATTATATAGTTGTGAAAACCTCTATCAGCATCACTACTGACTTCATTAAAATCGCAGTATGGATGAATGTAATGCTTTTTCACCTCCTTGCCAAAAAGCACCAATGTTCTATTTAATTTATATTCAAAGCCATATCACTGAAGAGTTAAAAATTTAAACTACCACTTTTCATGTTATCTAAAACTGTTGTATTCATCAAGTTAAGAACAGAGTACATTGATTTTTGGTTAGACTTCTTTCAGACTTACCTCTTTACTCACTTTGCCATATTTTTCGAAGTTTAATGGCACTATGGTTAGATGTGGACATAGCTTTTTAGCAATAAACCCAGGCATGGCTGCACGTACACCAAATCTCCTAGCATGGTAATTTGAGGTGGACTTGGGAGAGAAGAAATAGTTTTAGTGTTCAATAATCTAGTTCTAACTACAAAGCTCCACATAGAAAGAACTGATGAAGCTGAGGGTTAATATACAAGTTTTTTTTTCCCCTTCCCATCTGTCTACAGCCTTTAAACATTCATCACTACATTTCACTAAAAAATAAAATCCATCCTATACAGTCTAAGAATAGATGTTTCCTCTATTGTTATTTTTCCCACATACACTCTTAAAAATTCTCTTTATAACAGTATCATTATGTTATGCTATTATACGTTTAATTATTCTTCAGAGTCATATAATCTATTTCTGTACTAGCTTGACATTTGGCCTTACCAACATACTCATTGATCCCACTGCTATAGGCTTCTCCTTCAGCTCTGGGTTGTCTCGCATTTCTACAGCGGCATAGAAGGCATCCATGTCAATGTGCACAATAGTACAGCTAAGGTCACGGCTCTGTTCCAGTTCCATCACAAGTTTGTCCACCTGAACAGTGTATACAACCAATAATTAAAACCCCATTTACCTGGCAGAAGTGCGTTAGTATAGATCATTCTAAAAACTCAAAAGCATCTGGCGCATAGTTTAAAAAAAAAAAAGTTTCTGATGCAACTCATTCTCTGAGAGAACCCTGCTGCAGCAAAAGTTCCAAAAAAAAAAAAAAAAGTTTATTCATGCATAGCCATTCACCATTTATATTTGATATGTACCAATAACCAAATTCTTTTTGCTAGATATCTTTAAAAGTGTTGCATCTATACTGAGGTCCTTGTGATATTCTGAACAAATCTGTATTCCATTTTGGATATATGGAATATCAAGATACATAAGGAGCAAATCTTGTTTGGCTGTATCTGTTAGAATGCTGTTGTTACATGAATATTCTCATCTTCCTAAGTGGTGACGCAATCGGTATGGCCTCCTCCTTTAACCTTTACTTCCTTCACTATCAGACTCCTGCTTGCGCTAGATCTTACAGCAAAAGGGAGAGAAAAAAAATAGAACATACACATAGACTGCTATAATTAAACACTTCTGGTCTTTAAGAACTGCCATTACCATACAATTTAGCAATCTATTCTTCTTTCAAGAGCTGCATGTATGTATTTCATTTCAGAAAGTTGTCCGGCAAAAACACCTAAGTGCTGGAATCTTGAACTAAAAAATGAATTAGAATAAAAAATACAGTAAGACAAAATTATTCCGTGTAAATGTTTGTATCAGCAAAGGAGGCTTCAATAATAGTGCAATGTTGAGTAAAAACCTGTGCAAGTATCATTGACTTAAAACATTTTTCACAAACACTATCAATGTAGAATGGGTTTTAGTTGAAAGCTCAGAAGTTCCTTCTAGAGGTTACTGAGTTAGAATAAGTTTAGCACTGAAGAAAATACAGTTACAGATTTGTTTAGCTGAAATAATTTGTCCTTTCGGCTTTTTTTTGGAGAAGCTGTAAGAGAGTCAGGGAGAGGGAGGGAGGGAGAAAACTGTAATTGCATTGCCTCCTAAGTTCAAAAATCAGATCCTTTACACATATCCAATGTCTGCAGCTTCCCTTAGAACTTGGAGGGGGGAGAGACACATTATCCAATTCAGAGAGAAGCCTGGTAAGACCCACTGAAGATGCAGCTTCAGCTAATGTGACACAGGTTATTGAAAACAAACAAAAAAAATATTAGCTAATAGAATGTAAATTTCCAGCACTCCTAATTGAAGCTATCACATTTCAGAAAACTGGCTCAGATAGGTAAAGAAGAGACCAACAACTCAAAGGACAGACCCTTCTATCTTGTCCTGTCAGGAAAAAGTAGGTCTCAGAAACAAACAGGTCCCTGTCCCGCCTAGTAAGCTACTGCTAATCCCTTCTTAATATATATTATATAAGGCTGGAAGGCTAGCAAAACTGCAAGGTGACTTTGACAAGAAGCCCATACATAGAAAGCAGAGAGTTGCTCTTGTATGTTAAAGACACAACTCGTTGAGGGAAGAAGATATATCTCCTTGTAGACTGAGCAGTACTCTGCTTGATCAGCTCCACCATGGTCCAAGGCAGAGACCAAGCAGACAGTTCTCGCGACAAAACTTTTTCTTGATCGTGCTTCTTAATTTGTTTGCATTCCTTTACAAAAAGACTTGCAGATGCCGTGTTTGTTTCTGAAATACCTTTCAAATATGAACGAGGTAAGAACCGTGAGATTCATCAGTAAACTTGACTGTATTACTTAACAGGCAATTTTTAAGATTTGTAATATACTGATTTTAGATAAATATGTGGTCAGTACCACACACCGTTCTAGAAGCAAGAGAAGCAAATCTGAAAAGGAAAAAAAAGGAAAGAATAAAGGAAGTGCTATCAAACTGTGATCTTTTAACCACATTAATGACTATGCTAACCTCTATGTACACAACAAAAGGCTGTTGCTGTTAAAAAAAAAAAAAAAAAAGAAGAAGAAGAAGAATCAATGAGCTTCAGGCATCATAGAGCTCAAAACATGAAGTAATGAAATGGAACTGAAGTTTTACTTTGCTTGCAAGTATAAGGACACTCACACACACAGGACATCAAGGTACCAGTGCAGAAGTGTCTCTGGCTTGCTTGCACTAGGTTCGTGGTCCTGAAGAGGAATTATTTCTGTGCAATTTGCAGTTACTTGAACACTGTTCATCTCTTTTTTTCCCCCCCGAGTTATTTAAAAACAAACACACACACACCACTAATCCAAAGAAACATCCTTAGAGAGGAAAATACTTGAACAAAGACAGGTGGCTATGAGTGTTGCACCTGAGTAATGATTATGATTTCCCAACCTTTTTTCTGGTTTGCTCCAAGTTCTTTTGAGGAGTGAAAGGCTAGAATGGGTCCTCAAATTAGGCTATTCCATAAAGAAGAACACAGTATGCTCCCTGAGGTTACTAGGCTGGGCAAAATGGTTTGGACAAATTTAGGGCTCAAGGGGAAAGTGCTGCAGGCAAGCCATTCAAACAGCAACCAAAGACATAGCAGAGAAGTTACATGATGCAATACATAGAAAAAGGATAGATTGTCACATTTGAATCCTTCTGGACTAATCTTATTTTCGTTATACTATTAATTCAGCAAGGGTTAAGTCATCCTATCATCAACAAAAGGATGACTTTATGTTGCTTTTTTAAATATTGTATTTTACAAGTCATTTGCGGGTTACCCTCAAATTCAAATTGCTTAATTACTTTCAAGAATACTCTCTCTTGCTTCTCTAGTTACGTAACTTAATCTTTATCTTGGTTTATCATATTTATAACAAATCTTTTTTTTTTTTTTGCTTTTTCTTCCCAAATGTATGTCTAACATGATATTTATTGATTAGCTAACATATCCTTCCCCCTCCCCCAAAAAGGTAAAATTACATTAAACTGATCAGAAATACAAAAATAATAACCCCTCAAACAGAAAGAAAAAAAAATAGAAGTAATATGCCAAAATAAATACACCTAGACTTACTGTAAGAGTCCTGTGTACCTACACTTCTCTAGTAAGATGAAGAAAGTTATGGAATAGTTTCTTAGAGGCAAGCCAGGTTGAGAATTTCATCGTTGAGAAATTAAATTTTGCTTCTAGCTATGTTTAGACGATCTAAAAAGTAACCTGGCATTATTTCTTATCCCATGATGCAAAAGTGTAATTTTTGTATCTTAAATTGCATTAAAAATTTGCTTTATCAAAGAAAGATATGAAAAACTTATTGAAAATCTCTTTTATATTTGTAAAAGCATCTGACACGGCGAAGAGAGACCAAACACTGATACCACTTAATAAGATCACAGCAATTATTTACAGAGGAAAAATCTGGCTAAAATCCCTATGCATAAAATAGCAAACATCAGTAGAACAGCTTGCAAATCTGGTAGCAGTTGAATATACTTTAAAGTATTATTAACTACTGCTGCGCTTCAAGTAATTGCACTGTATGCAGTAAGACTACTCTAAATTTGTCACAGACAGTTTCTCAAAAATAAAGAATTGCATGATTCTATACATGTGTATATATGTAAAATTTCCCTATAAGACCACAGTGACATTCATTAGGAAAACTCCAAATTACCTTTTATATTTCAGTTTAGTAAAAAAAAAAACAAAAAAAAAAACACCCAACAACTATGAAATATTCCAAAAAGGAAACGGCAGCTTATCACCAATGGTGATAAGTGCCTTTCTGCAGAGAGGGCTTTTTAAAGAATATTGTAAAAATATTAGCAGACATTTTAGGTTTCTTAAAATATCATCACAGATTTCTTGGTATATATACACTTTAGCATCGAGAAAGAGAGCATTATGCTGCAGAATCTGTTCATCTTATTTTTTCCAACATGCAACCAAGATTTTGTCCAACAAATCCAACACCACCTTGAGGTTTTTAGTTAGTTTGTATTTACATTATGACACTTGCATTAATTGCCAACTTAAAAAGTCATATCTCTGCCTCTAACCATCCTACAAACCAGGAAGACTTGGTGTGAAGATAAGAACTTCTAGTGTTAATCTGTAAGCAGATTTATGCATAACTTTTTACTTCCAGAACAACTCCCGCTTATGAATTCCAGGAAAAGAACAAATTCTCTCATGGTACATTAGAATGTAGCAGTGAAAAGAGGAGGAGTTAAAGAATTCGATGGACAGGAACAATAAAGGAAGAAAGATCACAATGAGAGCTGAACCTGTATCTAAGAAACCTAGATAAGCTGATTTAAAAAAAAAATACAACCCACACACTTAAAAAAGGACAAACCAGACTTAAAGAGTTAAGGGTGGAGATAATAGCCTGGGGAAAG